TTACGACTTAAATTAAATAATTCTAAAAATCCCAAGCAGGTGTCTGCCCTCCCTATCCCTCCTAGTTCCGATCATGCATGTTTACCATTCTAGGTTTGCACAGGGAATGGCACACAGTCCCTCACTTTCCGACCCCCCCCCCCTCCCCTAGGCGGCCAAAGGCAAGGTTACCGTGAGCGGTGCAATAACTATATTAACAAATTAAATTAATTTTATTCATAAAAATTGACATTTTTAGTTGTTTTGTGAGTATTTTGAAAAAGAAATACTTTAATTATTCCGGAATATTGCAACTTTAACGGCTACATTCGCGTTTCCGCAAATACACAAAATCCTTTACATGTCGCGACTTCCGCTGTGTTAGAAATATTGCATCCGGGTAACTCATTATTACATAAATTTATGATTCTAACTAAGTAATAATATGTTTTACGGTGTGACCGTTGGGGCGAGCGCAGTTATACCATCAAAAAGCTATAGCAGCTTACACTTGTAACATTGATCCGCCTCTTCAAACGTCAAACTGCACGAGACACAGTCTAGACTGTGACGTCACATGACGTCGGAATTTACGGAGACAGCCGAGCGTCTGGTTGAACGAGACTTAAGATCTTGTGCAATAATAAATGAAATACGTTGTAGAGTAGATGTAATTATTTTTTGTTTCTTTTAAGCTCTCTGCAAAGAAAGGAAAGTAAACGTATCTCTCGGTAATGAATAATTATCCTTGGTCTTTTGTGCGTTTTGTAAGAATTTCGCATGGAACCCTGGTAGCGAAGGAATTCTGGGAATGTTGCACCAGAAAATTTGCCTAACGTATGTGCATATTTCATTCCGAATTTCCTCTGTTCTTACACGTTAGTCTATTGAGCTCGCTGCGCTCGCTATAATTAACAATTTGGAACATTAAAAAACATTTATTTCGAGAAGATTTAATTTGCATTTTATCATCATTGTACATTGAGTTACAAACTACACATAGTACACGAGAGGTTAGAATTTCAAGGCATGTACATTTTTGGCAAAACACTTTCTTCCCAAACTCAGGAAGAACTATCCGTAACATCTGTGCAATTCGTTTATTGTTGTCCGAGTCTGTCATATCAAGTTCAATATTATTCAGATCTTCCCGACACGTTCATCCCAGGAAGATAATTTGTCCGTCCTTCTCTCCTTCTTTACACTCTATCTCTTAGCAGCTTTGATGTATTTTTAGCCACATTTTTGACCACACTCTCCGGTTTTGAGGGTCGGATGTTAATTTTTCGTTGAGGTCATCTGCAGAAGAAAAAAAAAACATTGAGTTCAAACACGATGCTTCCATTTTGGCAATGGGGCAGCTCCCTCACTAAATTTTTAACCATCAACACCCCTTCCCTTACATGTAACTATGAATATATTGCAGAAATACACTTGTATTTATTTAAAACTAAATAAATGACATTTCATTTAACATTAAAGCAAATCTATAATGTTGAACTGAAGTTTTAAAATAAAAACAAGATGTAATAAAATGTGTATTCATCTTTTATGTGTTAGAAGTTTTAGTAAACATAATTAACTCTTTTACATTCTTTTACAATACAATCTAATTACAGTGTAATATGTAGTATCACATGCACGTTGAGTCTTTAATAATGAAACCGGTAAAAATTGACGAAATTAATGTGCAAGACAAGTATTTTTGCATTCTCAAACCACCAAATCCATTTTCCGTCAGGGGCTTGGCCCACTCTATCCCCACCAGGGCTCCGCCCTGGACCAGCTTAAGGCCTAAGGCAGCCCCCAGCCCCCCTGCCGCTATGGTTTCGCCTCACTAGAATTTTAAGATACGCCCCTGGAGTTAGCGTTATAGAATTTTTTTGCTTTCGAACTCATATAATTAAAGCATTTATCACTCTCAAAGAATTTTGAATTCAGTTCTTGAAGGTTACTTATGTAAGTTACTTTCAATTCAAAAGATACTATTCAAAGCTCCTTTTAAAACAGTATACCATGCATTACGTAGCAGTAACGTATACTGCAGTGTAAAATGCGGTGGTGACGTTCCCGCTAAAGTATAATTGTCGTGCATGACCGAATTCTCTTTAGATTTCAAATTTCAAAATATCAAAGTATTTTTGAGAAGAAGAAAAAAACTCACCGGCTTAGGTTGTAATCCTCTTCTTCTTCGGAGTCTGACACGGTGAATTCTATTTCTTCTCCAAATAGTTCCTGCCGGAGTCGAACGATTTCTCTCCCCTTGACTTTGGAGAACTTATAATAGATGTCTCTCATAGCTTCTGTCACAGCCATGCGCAGTCTCAAAGAATATCGAAAACACTTCTGTCCCGCTTCTCGTGCCCGGAGGTACCTGATTTATATTTATCAAAGAAAAAAAATACGACTTTACACTGTTTTTATCTACGGCGATACTTAAGTTTATACATGTAAATTGCTTAATGCTATAAGTGAGGAAGAAAATAGGATACATACACCTATAACAAGTCATTCTATTTAAAAAAAGTCCTATATAAAGTTAATTGTCATCCAAAGTAAAGGAGGCTTTTAGACACACACCCCCACCCCACCACCCTGCCTCGATAATATATGCCTCGGGCATATTTTTAAAATTATTTTTAAATGATATACTTTGCACATATTTACAATTTTTACAACAAATAATGTACACATATTTCCATGTTTTGAATTGAAAAATTCCAGGGTGATAAATATTCTGAGGCGGTATCCTCTCCTTAAGTTAGAATACATCAATGTTTGGTGCATAAATTACACGAGCATGAAAAACCTTTTTTACCAATCTACGTGTACTTTCATCTCGCTCTTCGTAAATTTATTTGTCGCTCGTGTAAGTTCAAGAACATCTTTCTATGAAATCGTTTTCTTTAATAAAATTTGACATCATTATGAAGTGCTGTTTCTCAGAATGATTATTATTATAGAAATTTGTAGATATTTTTATGTAAGAATTATTACTTTGTCTCCCGGTAAACATTCTATAAATGAAAATTATGAATTACAAAGAGTTTTTAACAAAAAAAACGCCCTTAAAAAGGGTCAATACACTTTTACATGATTGTGTTTTACAAAAAAAAAATCGAAATTTTGTCGAATAATTATACCTCTTTTGAAGCTGAATCAGCTGAATCTCAAGGGAGACAATCTGGTCGTTAGACTTCTCAAAATAACATTCTGCTTTATTTAGATTTTCGAGATCCATGTATCGTTTGCAGGAGAGAATCACCGCCATCTTGTCTTACTGACAGATGAACGATCTCAAGTGACACGGATTGATTAATTTCGGTCGTTTATAAAGTGTCAGCTTGAGCACAGAGGAAAATCAACAAACTTTCCTGAGTAAATCAACCACTCCTAATGTGTTAATTATCTCAATTAGCATTAATTGTGAGGTCTTTATACAAATCACTTAATATAAGTACCAAAAATTTAATGTCATATCATTAATTATTAACTAAGATGTATCTTAGATGTAAAATCAAAATTGAAATATTTAATATTAATATTTAAAAAAAAAAAGATTAACTCTAAAGCTGTATTATTTTATATCCAGCTGATGTGTAAAAGATGTTCGATACATGGTTACCGTTATGATTATTAACAAACAACTCACAAAAGTAGAAATTGATATTTAATTAAATTAATTACCTGATACAGAATGTGTCATCCTGAGCAGGTGCTTCAATGAAAAATGCACATCCAAATTCCAAAGTTACTTTTTTTTAAATAAAATAATTGAGCGGAAGAGTAATTTATTTAACAAAGTTCAAGGAAGAGTTGGACACAGAAATCAAGTTGGTGTCGAAAACAATTCAGTTGTCAAATACAAATGAATTTTTATAATTATTTGTAAAGAGCAAAGGAATACTCCGTGGGTGTTTGTGGGTGCGTTTACCATCTCTCTCTCTCTCTCTCTCTCTCTCTCTGTAGGGGTGGGGTTGGGGGGTGTATGTGTGTGTGTGTGGGGGGGGGGGGGTAGGGGAGAGGGGGAGGGAGGGTGTAATTTTGTGTGAATTTTATTTTTGTGTGGGTATGGTTGTACATGTATGTGTGTTGGTACTTTGCATGGACATGAGTGTCTTATATTTATTTAATGTACAGATAAGCTTTTAGTACCAAAGGATACTCGCACATTTTTCGAAAGTGATATTTTGTATGACTTACAAGTACTCAGTATATCAGACAGTTTTTTTTTTTCATTTTTCAATGGCACCTTCAAAGTCTAAGTAGAACTGATTATCATTAAATAAAGGTCAATCCAAATGATGCACTTCTCTCCTGAGTTATTTACGTTTTATTAATATTATATTCCAAGTAGAATTCTTAAAAGGATACAATTTGCAATGTATTCAAAATACAAATGATGCATCCAAAGAATCTGGGGCAGGTTACCGTAATGCAAACTCATCTGAAAAGATATCAATTTTGAATTTTCCTTCACCGCTGTGTAATGGGCAATATGTCGCTTAGATGAATAGTCAAAACCCTAACAATGCGTTTATCTTGTAGGTATTACCTTTCTTTGATTAAATGCTACCAGATTTAAAGCTGAACACGATTCGTAAAAGGAATGTGTCCGCCATATTCGATTGGTTTCTCGCTATATCTGAGGGCCCCTATATAAAGCCGCTGACTTGATAACTGTTCAGTGTAATCTATCGTCACCGGCATGGACGGACGTATGCTGTACAGCACTCGGTAGCGACAAAATATAACTGAGTGTGTACTTCTTCTAATGCAGGAGAGTAAGATACCAAAGAAACTTACAACAGTTGCACAGGTCAGTGCAGTATACGTACTTTGGGTACCAACATATTTTATTTGCATTTGAGAAAGTTTAACCTTTGCTATAAGTTGCCTTACGGGGGCATCAGTGTTTCACAAACACATCTTGTTTTTATATACATTAGAAATGGTTTCCCTTGACCATACATATAATTATTCTGTTGTTACAATCAATGTCTGATAGGAACACACAGCTGTTTTACTACAGCTTTTATTCAGAAAAGTTGTAGAAGTACTATATGAAGAAAAGATGATTCAAACTTGCTAGTTTTATAAAAGCGAAAAAAATGCGTGCCATCTTAATAGCATTAAATGGCTACATTAAAAAATGCTCCTATAGTCAACTGCAACTAAATTTAACCATTTCATTTCTTGGATCAGTAAGTAAACAGTTTTTAAGACCAACTTCGCTGTAAAATATACATCAATAAAAAGTTTCAACAGAAATATGGTAATAATTAAATCATATACATGTATATATTGATTTACTATAGTACGCATGTTGAACAAAATACATAAAATTAATGTACAGTACAGAAATATTGTTAATCTATATTCAGTTTAAGTATGTTAATGTTACTAAAAAATCCCTTTTTAAACTAAATTAATTCTTTTAAATCGATAGCCTCTTTACATGTAAAGGTTCACGTTCGTCCGAAAAAAGAGGAGTTCCGAAATTCTATGGTACAGTAAATCTAGAGGATGATTAAATTCCGCCAAAATTGCTCTTTGAAGAGTGTTTCGAGTTCTGAATGAAGAAGTGGCATATTTCAATATCCTTGATTCCCCATTATTTGAAATCTTAATATTGACAGAAAGTCTCCTAACTTGACGAAAGTATTAATTTTGATGAATTTCTGAGTCGAAACTCAGGTAAAGGCATGATTTGAAAAGATTACCTCTTTTAAAAAATCAAATGATAAATAATCCTTATTTTGGATGCACATAAAATTTGAATGGAATCTGTTTATTAAAACATGGATTTTCAGCATCCAAGAACAAATGACAAGTAACCAAGCCCATGTGTCAGAGATACACATTTCTCTACAGTGCAAACATAATATATTAATTGGTGTCAGTCTACCATTGCACAGTTTTCATAGAATGTTTTTGTTTCCTTTACATTTTGGTATCGACAGCTGTTTTGATGTTGAATGCTTCGTTGACAACACCGTTGGATTTCTCGTCATTTATGGAGGCTTTTTCTACCTCCAGATCCATTGCCTCTATGTCCGCGCTTGACAGGTGCTCCACGATTCCTGCTCCATAGGCATCTCCAAGTACGTTTATTGCTGTCCGAAATCGGTCCCTAAAAGATTTATTTTTACATGTAAGTTAATCAAGCAAAGGCACACTAGTACTAGTATATATTATTGATAGCAGTGATTGTATTAATAAGAAGAGATTCAGTGATTATAACACATACATTTTCTGGATACAAGACGATTTGATGAAGTTATAACGATTTGAATAGGGTTTTTTTTCCATACTAGCGCACAAGTATTTAAAACATGTGCTTCAAAAATGAATCAATACATGACATTCTACAGGAGAGAGGAATATTTTGTTATAACTATAATCTGATTTGAGATAAATAATAATTTTTCTACACTTACAAGAACCAATCAATAGCTAGGATAAGCCTCACTTCCTCCACCGGAAGTCCAACTGCAGAGAGAACTATAGCCATGGTAACTAAACCAGCTGACGGAACTCCTGCTGCTCCAATGGCGGCTGCCGTGGCTGTTAAACTGAAAGTGACCGAATCCATATTAATAAATCATGACTTCATTAAATTATAAATGAATGACGACTATAAATCAACTTAATGATCCCTTGAAGTACACAATTTTTATCCAGATTTTTAAGTAAATCATTAGATGAATGGACCTATTTTTTTTCTTAAATAAAATTGTTTGTTTTTAAGCTCCACTGGCCAGAGACCAGAAAAGCTTATGTGATAGACGGTGTCTGTCATTTCGCTTGTCTGTCTGTCTGTCCTTAAACATTTTTTTTCAAAACGCTACTGATCTGATTTCGGCAAATTTTCGATAAGGCTTGGAACACAAGTACACTATACTACGATAAATAATTCTTTAGATAGGATTTTGATTCCAACAAACAGTGTTGCCATGGATATTCAAAGTAAAAAATTCCTTGAAATTCATTCAAACGCTACACTCCTCCTATAGTGTTGTTCCAATGTCAATAGGACTTGGTGCACAGGTACATTATAGAAAGATACATAATACTGTATATCGGTTTTGATTTCGACAACAGTGTTGCCAATGTTATTAAAATTAGGAATTTCTTTCATTCAAAATGCTACTCCTCCTATAGTTGCATGGTCCAATTTCAATAAGATTTGGTATACAACTACACTATACAAAGATACATACAGTCATGTAATTCCTTATATCGGTTTTTGATCTTGACAAACGGTGTTGTCATGCCATCTGATTAATAAAAATCATTAAAAATTTCTTTGAAATTCTTTCGAAAATTCTTTCAAAAGGCTTCTCCTACAGTTTCGTTCCAATTTCAATAAGATTTGGCACACAAGCAACAGTACTACATGTAAGGTTGACAATTCTTTTGTTGTAGTCAAACGATGTTACCATGATTACTAAAGATAGAATTTTTTTGAAATTCTTTCAAAACTCTCCGCCTCCTACAGTTTTGGTCAACTTTCAATAAGACTTGGAACATAAGTGCATTATATTTAGATACATAATTATATGTAAAGGTATTCGATTTTAACAAACGCTTAAATTTGTCTTGGTTAGTAAAAATAAAAAATTATTTAAAATTCTATCAAAACACTCTCCTGATACAGTTTTGTTCAAATTTCAATAAGACAAAAATACACCACGTACACACCAGTAAAGCTTCAGTCTCGTCAGAAACTTCAGTTTTTCATCTCACGTATAACGTACACGTATAATTAATAAAAACTTACTTAAAATGTGGGAATTCCTTTGGGTTTTTAACATGTTTTGCACGAATTTTGTCCTCTAAGAAATTATATCATATAAAGATATAAATATAGGGTTTATCTAATATTTATTTTTTAGAATAGGATACATGCCATTTAAACCCAGAAAAATTTTTTCCAAGACGGTGAAGTTTTGGTGAACAGAAATCAGCTTTGCTTATACTTAATTGGGAAAAGTACATGCGAATATGTTTATGTTTTAATGTTGTTAAACGTCCCTCTCGAGAATTTTTCACTCATATGGACACGCCACCACTTGCCGGTGGAGGGCTGTAAATTTATACCTATACTTGGCACTTAGGGCCATTGAGCAGTAAGGGATTTTTTCGTGCCGACACCTACTGCGACACGGGACCTCGGTTTATACGGTCTCATCCGAAGGACCGGTCTCCACGTCCCGCTGTGGATTCGAACCAGCGACGTAAGGATCAGCCCCTTGCTCCGCGACTTTAGAGCAGAAGCTCTAACCACTGCGCCAAGCGGGCGACTACATGCGAATAAAGTGTTAAATTAATTCATGTACATGCAGTGTGGCAACGCACTTTGAAAATATAACGCACTTTGAAAAAAATTTTCAAAGTGCGTTAAAATTGGGACAAAATCAACGCACTTTGAAAATTTTTTCAAAGTGCATTAAGAGTGTACATCAACATTTTTTACCATAAAGACACATAACACACTTTGAAAAAATATGTATAAAACCAAAAAAATTGGACTTAGATTTTAATAATAGACAGCAAAACTGATGAATTGATCTACCCTCATCGAGAACGAGAAGACAGGTAGAAAGTCCCTCAGCCCAACTCTCTATCTTTCCTACACAAATATATGTATTTACATAACTGGTATGACATTGATATTATTTCTCTCAATAAATTTGAGTTAACGTAAAATAGATGAAAAAAATTGAGATAAGCTTTCCTGAAAAAAAAAAATTACGCACCCAATTATATTAAAGAAGAGAGTCGTATAACCCTTATTCAGAATCTATCCACAACGATTCCTCATTTACATGGTAATCAAAACATGCTATTTGACATGTCTTGAGTTTTTATGATATCAAATTACAGATTTATAATTAATCTGACTGCATAACATTTTTGAGAAAAAGTTATTAGTGAACGAGGTAAAAATTTCAGTCGAGTGAGTAATGTGGCTAAGGTTTATTTTCTTACTATCAAATAAATGAGTCAACCATTGTTTCATATATGTTCACAACAGATAGATAAATGAATATGATAGAAAAATAGATGAGAGAGAGAGAGAGAGAGAGAGAGAATTTTCATGGTAAGGAAAAATCATAATTGCTCTCTTTTCCCTAAGAAAAATGCGATGCTTTAAGTCACTTATCGACACCTACATCTACCGAACTTATTAGAGACTGGATAAAATTTAAAAAAGAAAAGAAACGAAACTGTGCTATTAAACAATCATTCCTCCATTATTTCTAAGACCCATTTCCCTTTTATAACAGTTAGGAGTACCTTTGCAAACAAGACAACTCCTAAAAATCTTTAAATGTCTATATCTCAGATCAAGACGCCATCATCGAAAAGTTATCCAACCAAGTTCAAATAATTATTTATCATACCTAATATTTGCAAGAATATTGACCAAGCAGTGCACTTTTTTTTTCAAATGCGTCAATATGGTCCATATTAACGCACTTTGAAAAGAATTTTTTTTTTCAAAGTGCGTTAACGTGGTCCCAAAATCAACGCACTTTGAAAAAAAAAATTTCGAAGTGCGTAATTTTTCAAAGTGTGTTGTAACAATGCAGGCCAAATGAAATGTTTTGAATGCTTGAATTGTATACAAAGAGTAATAAACTTCAGTTTTCAATTCATTTCATTTTAGATATAACGGCAGATCACTGCATGAAAATACCATGGAATTAGAACCTTTAGTGTGTAGTGTATAGAGGGTTCTTAACGATATTTCAAAAGATGCAATAATACCTGTAACTGAATGTACTTTACTTCTGTTTGTTTACCTTATGATAACCACTTTCCCAAAATCCATCGGTACTCCGAGATATTGCGCAATGAAGATGGCCGCCACTGCTTCATACAATGCGGTGCCGTCCATGTTAACTGTGGCACCAATGGGGGTCACAAACATAGTGACACGGGGGTCCACATGATTGCGTTCCTCCAGGCAGTTCATCGTGACGGGAAGAGTTGCTGAGCTAAAACAATGGTAATGTATAGCCTTATTGAGTATTCTTTAAAATATCCTTTCAAAATTGTCATAATCCCTAAAAGTAACCAATCCTTTTATTTGTTCTCCTCGATGTGTTTACAAGTGTGCTACAATGTAGCTTGAAAAGGTTTTGTACTATAAATCAGCTCGAGTTGATGGAAGAAATGCTTTAAGTGAACCGATTTTTTTAAAAGCTTTGATTTTTTGTACACAGATACATCTGACATGAAAACTGTATAAAAGGTCAGTAAAACAGTGAAGCTTAGAATCTTCTTAAGTTGCTTAATTCCAGGGGATCCTCTAAAGTTACAGTCCTTCTTTCCTCAATACGGAGACCTTAATGATCACAAAGTTAATCTGTATTTCTAATTGCATGAGAACAAATTAACATGCAACAAAATACCTTTTGCGCTAAGTATATATGTGAAGGCCCCTAACATGCCTAAGATAAAGCATATTATCACACTGCAAAGGAAATATTGAGTTAACAATGGTTAAGAGTAGACAAGATACCTTGAAGCTGTGCCCCAAGCCGTGAGCAAAGCTTGAAGCATCCCGTACATGAATTTATAAGGATTCTTTCGTGTAAAAATGAAGTATACCAGAGGTAACACAATGAATGCATGGATCGCCAGTCCTACCAACACCGTCAACATGTAGTAGCCCAACTGAGTAAACATCTCTTCTGGTTTCTCCATGGAAACCAATTTTGAAGCAATTAGGAATGTTACTCCGATTGGGGAATACCTAAATTTTAAGAAAGTGTCAATTTTATAAACACAATTAGAACAATGGAAGTATAATATTTGTAGTATCACAAAAAATCAAATTACCAAATCACAAGTGTAATTAGTTTCATGGTCACAATGTGCAGCGAGAAAAACACATCAACCAGAGGTTTTCCCTGTTCACCAATTCTCGCGAGAATTCCACCAAAGAAGAGCGAGAAAACAACTAATCCCAGAACGTTCATTCCGCCTACTGTATTTAAACTGATAGACTGCAGATCTCCATCTTAAAAAAGAATGTAAATGTTAAACTATATTATTACTGACCTGTTTAGAATGCGTTTTTAGCTCACTTGAGCCAAAGGCTAAAAGACTCGAGTGAGCATTTTGACCGAGAATTATCACGTTTTTGCCCGAGAATTATCACGTTTTTGCCCGTCTGCCGTTTGTGACTGATGTTAATTTTTGACTTCTTTCTAGAACTACTGCCGTGACGATTATACAACAAATCATATGTTCCCATTAGCCATAGGGTTGGTCAGTAATAAATCAACGTTTTACAAAGAATTACAACAATCAGGGAAACAATGTAGGCAAAAATATGCAGAATTCTAATTCTGCGCAACAGCTTGTCCAAATCATAAGATGACCACGAATAATATATGGGTTTTAAAGTTTTAAATGAAAAACATACACTTCTACAAGATAATAAAGCTACAATGTGTAAATATAACTTCAAGTTTCAGCCGATTTTTAACTAGAAGTTTAACTAGAAAGTTTAACTAGAAGGCTATGACAAATGGTTTCATATAGTTACAAATACCTGCAGATTTGTTAAACTCTGCGACCTAAGTGAGCGTTGAGATTCATGTACTTTTTTATTTTGTACGTTATGTATTCCAAGGACTAGATTTGGACGCCATATCCATAGAAGTGTTAATTACTATTTCGTCAAATATAATGAATGACTTGAAATGGTTCTATATAGATTTCATTATTTACAACTTGATGCTTGAAAACAATTAAGCTTACCGGTAGTTTTCAATTAATTATGCCTATTATATGTTTGAATTTACACGTGTTGATAATATTTTTTTAAAAAGTTGAAAACAGACATTTATAAGCAATATAATAGAATTGTACCTGTAAATATCACAATGTATATTTGCATCACAATATAATTTACATTATCTTTGAAACAACAAGTTTTCGCACATTTTCACGAGCACTAATTTTCTTACCGACAATCTTTGGTTGTGGCGCCTCTGTTGTGGTGGACATAGTCATTGTGGTAGACATGTTCATTGTGGTGGACATGTTCATTGTGCTGGACGTGTTCGAATTCATATCCGTAGAATTCATGGTAATGTTCTTGATTTCGGGGTAAATTTTGATTTGTTCATACTTAAGAACTGTTTCTTGCTAAGTAAGAAAATGAATGATAATTAATATATGGATAGAAGTTTGATACTAATATACAAACGGACTACTTTCCTGATAATCTCTCGAAAAATAATTATTACAAACACATTTACACTATATTTTAAGTTTGCTGAATGTTTTTATTAATTCAAATTGAATAATATTAAAATTAAATTCCTTGACCCGCTCACGTAGATCGTTACACAAGAATCTTAAGATAATCCATTTAGGGTCATTTTTGATGACCATTCATATATGTTCATGGATATTCATATTTAACACTTTAACCAATCAGTGAGCTCTGATTTAGTGGAAGTAGCTGTAGAAAAGACCCAGACGCTTCTACAAACAGGCACATGTAAAAACAGCAAGTGCAAATATTAGTTGCATTGCTGCAAAGAAAAGACTGTGTGGCCGTTCCGTCAACAGACTACAGATACTTGATTAGGCTATTGTCCTCCTGATATACTTTATTTTAACAAATAAAATATACAACATGACTATATTTTATTTGTTAAACAGGTTGGGGGGAAACGTAAATTCCGCTATAATAGTGGTATACCACTATTATAGTGAGATTCCGCTATATTTTCAGCCGTAGTTGTCCTCGATTTCATCAAATAACATACTTGCTGTTTAAAGCGCAAGTTATGATGGGAATAAAAATGAACAATAATTGGCATCCTTACATATTATGAATTTTATTTAATTTTCTGCCGATGCGTTTGATAATGCGAACACACTTTTTAAAGCGGAAGTTACATTTTTAACATAGCAACCAGTGATTGCGGTAATATTGAACAAAGACTGACTCTTAATATCTCTCTCACATGTGCACAAATTAGTGTTTGTAATAACTTTCAACCAATTTTGAAATAGGTTTGTCGATTTTACAGACGAAAAGATGATTTTTGCCTGCATGGTGACGTGTACGGAGGCCCGTTATGACAAACGAAAAAAAGCTCATTACATGTTTACTTTATTCTGATGAAACCGATTTATATAGTTTTTGCAATAAATCGTTAACAATGATATAAGATGTCATTTCTGCAGGTAATTACATATACATTATATGACATTAGTTTCCGGAATGTTAAACAAATTTTTTTGAAATATTAATTTTTGTATTATGACAAGTAAAGTTAAATTAAAAAAAGAAAAATCTTTTTAAAAACTATTTCAAATATTATATGTGTGAGCGATTTTTGTTGGGAATATTTAGCGTAATTTCTCAGAAGAAACATTGGTGCTTAATACATGTATTATGATTAAACCACGTAATGGCGAGACATAAATTAATTAAATGTTCATTTAGTTATGATATAGCTGCAGTTTCCAAAAATAGAAGTATGTTGAAAATTACTAATAAAAGACACCAGGGAGTATAGCAAATCTGCTTCTTTCCTTAAATATTTTACTAGAGAAAGAGATTGATGACAAAGTAATAACTAAACTTATATGGTACATGTGATAACTACTTTTTCTATCGTCAACTTCCCTTGTTATGTAGCAATATACCATATTACCTGCATGTGGGATTAATGTCTTAAATTATTAATTGATTCGATACACATTACGAACAACAAGGGGTCTCGGTTTTAAGAGGGTCTTCCGCCTATTCCCCAACCCCTTTTTTTAAATCACAAATCCACCTATTCCCGCTTGCAAGTAACAAAATGAGTTGAACGTTCAATTGTGTTTATAACAATTATGTTAATTACATCCCAACTTAGATATACCTGTGTTTTGTAGAATTTAATACACCTTAAGACAGAAAAAACACAATAAATAAATCGATGAAAATGCAATGATTGATTTCACTTAATTTTGTACATTTTCTGACAGAAAATTAAATAAATAGATGTAAGAAAAATATAATGTAATTCACTCAAATTTTTTGCACTTTAAGACAGAAAATAAATTAAATGGGTTCAATTTTTTTTTTCAACTTGCTTGAAATACTGTATGAAATATGAAGATAACAAACAGTAATCAATCTCAAAAGTCCATTGAAAGAATGCAAATTTTAAACAGAGCAAACACGAACCTCTAAAAAACATCAAAGATGGGATCAGGTGTCATGGAGGAGTGAGCATCCCCAGCCGACAAGTGTGTTCCTTGTCGTGATAGGAAAAAAAAAACGAAAAAATAACCGTACGCGAAAACAATTCAATGTGCATATAATGGCTTCTTTGTAGTTAAAAAAGCGGGCTTAATATTTTAGCGGCTGTGGCGAGACAACGATGCACTAATTCATGATAACTATTAATAAATGAATTTTGCAAAGTCCATGTTCGACAAGGGATGCGTAATCCTCCATAGCACCTTATCCTACTTATTTGCTCTGCAAAAAAATTATTGCTCAAATGGCCTTTTTTCGTTATCTTCATATTTCTGTTTCTCCTTGTATTTCGTTTATTTACAACAGAATAATCTACTTCTGGTAAATAGGATTTCATTGTTTCTTTTCCAGTGTATATCGTAGTTAAATATAAAATTTCATGCAAGTTAGAGAATCAATAAATCGTGCAGAATTTATTTTACGTCACGTCTACAGGTAATTCCATGCACAAGTGTAATTCTTCTTTTCTTGATAAGAATAATCATTTAAATTCATGGATTCATCGTCAAGAAAGGAAACATTATACACAAACTTAAGATTACTTCGAAAAGTGACATATTATATATATTTATTACAATTTAGACGACACAAATCGGTTCCATTAAAATGTACATGTGCTGAGCTTTTTTTTCATTTGTCATAACGGGCCTCCATACCCGTTACCATGCAGGCAAAAATCACCTTTTCTTCTATAAATTCGACAAACCTATTCCAAAATGAGTTGAAAGTTATTACAAGCACTAATTTGTGCACATGTGAGAGAGATATTAAGAGTCAGTCTTTGTTCAAAACTCCCGCAATCACTGGTTGCTATGTTAAAAATGTAACTTCCGCTTTAAAAAGTGTGTTCGCATTATCAAACGCATCGGCAGAAAATTAAATAAAATTCATAATATGTAAGGATGCCAATTATTGTTCATTTTTATTCCCATCATAACTTGCGCTTTAAACAGCAAGTATGTTATTTGATGAAATCGAGGACAACTACGGCTGAAAATATAGCGGAATCTCACTATAATAGTGGTATACCACTATTATAGCGGAATTTACGTTTCCCCCCAACCTGTTAAATAAAGTATATCAGGAAAGACGCTATTCTCCGTTCGTATGTCTTCTGTGAGCGAAATACTGGTAGATTCTTGCAAAGAAATGTTTGATTGTATTATTGAAAGGTCACAATAACTTGATTGTCAATGGCGTCTCTTCAAATCTTTGCAATTGTGAAGCGGATCAAAGGATCTGATTTTAATTAGATTGTAATTAATTACTTGAATCTCAATTATACCAAAAAATCTTTGAAATATTCAGTCAAACATCACTTTTCGAATTCGATGAGGTCGACAAAAAATCGAAATATACGAATTTGAAATTTCATAAGAAATAGTTGATATGACTTTAAACTCATTTCTACATATCCAATGTACTGCTTGATATCGATTTTAGGGATACTGAAGTTTAACTATATACATAAAAGCCTACACTTTCCTGCCCTTTTCGTTTTCCCTTGTCAGAGAATTAAATGGAAAATAATATAACGATATAAATTTAAATATCTTAGATATCACATTTCTATTGCAACAGTGCTACGTTAAATTTCAAAGCTATACATTTCACGTTTTTTAAATGTCCAAGAAGGGTACTTTCCCTTCCTTACACCGTTTAAAATCGGAAGTTAAAATGTCTTTCGATAACTGAATAACATCTACCGTAGTCCGCAAATAGCTCTTCACAGTTGATAATTATAAAACATACCGACATAAAACAATTATGATTATCTCTTCATTCCATTCTGTTCCATCATTTTACACAGTATGCTCAATTACGGAACTTTAGTAACTATCACATTTAACAAAATATGGTTGAAAAAAGTACTCACTTTTTCAAAACATGCCGATATCAGGTTGGAGGGAAAGCAGTTTCTATTACAAAAATAATTGAAACAATGCATTAACATTAATGTCATACATATAGCACTTCCTGAATAAAATCCCGGGTATTTTAATAATTTCATAAACTGGTGAAAAGACTTTTTAAAAAATAATTTTAGAAAGAATTACAATCATGTAATTGAAACCCATCCGTCGATCAAATGATAGGATTCGAACAAAATTGAATTAACCCTCATTGGAATGCTACGGAAGCCGGTATGTGCTAAGTAGAAAAAGCATTTTATCTGGCGGCCAGATAAATAGATCTAGCGGCCGCCAAGAGATTAACTGGCTGCCGCAATGTAATTTTTGGCGGCCGACAGATAATTATTATTTGGCGGCTGCCAGATAACTGTTTGGCGGCCGCCAGTTATTTATGTAGCGGCCAACAGATCTATTTATTTGGCGGCCGCTAAATAAAATATTTTTCTACCTGGCACCTACCGGCTTCCAAAAATGCCTAACACGTATTACACGTAAATCCGGGAGCTATAACTTGGGGGCCGACTGGCATTTTCATTGCACAATACTTCGCGCATCATATTAAAATCAAGCGTATTTACAGTTTTCAACAGGAAATATCGCAAGTTTTTACATTTTCGATGCCCCCTCTGGAAACCACCCACTAGCATTTTGTGTTTCTTACATATAATGTACAATATTGTATAACTCGTCTTTTAATTTTAGCCAAATGTATATTGTAGTATTTGTAAAATTTGCTTTGAATTGTGATAAACTTGAACAATCCTTTTTGAAATGTACCTGTATTTTGAGATGGTCCCTAAAGCTACTCAGACGATAGATTTTCCCGAAACTTGGCATGTACACTGAAGTCAATGTAAGTTACATATGATATGTATAAAAAAAGGAGTTTTTCTATTGTTGTTTTCAAGCAATGAAACCCTAGTCTGCTTAAATCTAAAAGATATATGGTGAACCAAAAGTGATAGTATCATGTATAATTTTAGCTGAATGGGAAAAAAAAATATGTATGATTTCAAAAGTTTACAAAAAATATTTCGGGGACACTTGTATTTTGACTAATCGTGGTTCTGCTATTTTTGAGAAGTGGAGAGAAGCCATATTTACTATGCAAAATTTTGTTGTTGTTTAGATCCTATCTTTTTTTTCCCATAATTCATAAACTGAGCAATTGATAAGAAAGCTGTACATATTATGCTGGCTTAATGACACTAGAAAATAAGTTTAAGGAAATACGCAGAGTGTCTAACAACTTACCTTAAAATTGAAGTTTTTTCAAGATATTCTAATATTAAACTAGAAACATCAGATGTTCTTAAGCAAAAAATCAGCGAAAATGAGGGGGGGGGGGGGGGAGGTGTTGACTGCCTATCAATATACAATGATTGGAACTGTTCTATTGTACAGTGAATAAGAAAGATACATGTAGTAAAGTTCAATTTACGTTGTGCATATTAAATATTATAGTACAATATTTGAAATTTTCAGTATTTATTGATTCACCCTTGACATGAGACATTCTCATTAAGTAGAATGAACCTTAATTTCCCCCAGTCCAAGGTTGCTTAAAGCTTTTTACCTTTTTTTTTTTTTTTTTTTTTTTTTTTTTTTTTTTTTGTAAAGCGAAAATGTGAATTGTTACATATGATGCACAGGGACATACAGCACTCAGCGACCAGGAAGTTCTTACATTGTATCCTTTAGCTCGTATGAGAAAAAAAAAATAATGGTGGTGTAGCCAAATAAAACCCATGTCATTTTCAGAATATTTTTGCAACATTGTTGTTACCAATTAAGAATATAATATAATCGATTCATAAGCAGTGGAAGTTTTTCGCCTAAGGCCAATATATGTATTCTATTTTGTATTTAGACTGCTTCTTTTACCCTCGGAAAAACTCAACGATAACAATTAAATCACAGGAAAAAAGTTTAAAATTAAAGATGTATAGATAGATAAATCGTATATAATTTCGAGGGTGTTTTAACTGGGACACAAAGCATCAAGTTACACTTTGTTGTGGGCAAAATTCACCCAGGTTTACAAAAGATTCTACATACCTTTTCATTTACGACAAAAGAAAAGTATGTCAAGGCATCTGAAGTCGGTAATGTCAGATCGTGAGATAAAATATTTTTCTCTTAACAAGGAGGAATAGATCACGAATAATTAGAGAGAGATATAAGAAACATAAAAGTTCACGAAGAGTACGAAAATAGGGATCAAAAACTGAACCTTACTACAAGGAAAAAATTAGAACTATACGCACCTTAATCTATTTGAAACAATATGTATAATATGTATAGAGAAACTTAAAAAAACATAATGTGTACTTATCATTCAAGGTAGTACATGCAATAAAATGTGCCACACTTAAGATAACCTTTCAAATTTCTATTTTTTTTCATTTGAATATTTTATAGTTAAATCTAGATTTGAACTATAAGTAATCTTCACCATAATTTTTGTTTCAAAATTCAGTACGATTATTTACAGGGAGAGTTAAAGTTAAGGGTCCCTTGACAGAAATATGAATTGCAAAGTCATGCATCTCCATATAAATATTCTTGACTGTTTGTTACTGAGTTAGAATATGTGCATTATTGAGATATTTGTATTCAACAAATAGACTAAAATTATAGAATGAAATTTTCTAAATAACAAATTCTAAACGTTGAAATGAGAAAAGTAAAATACCCAAAGACATTCACAGACGTGCAAATTTAATAAATCAATACATTCAGAATTGAAATTTACATTACTTAACCGTGATGTTCGCTCAATTAAAAAAATGTTCAATTATTTTTTATTTTATCTTTTTTTTTAAATTATTCTTTTTATTTATTGTACCCTCACAACGGAGTTGGAGGGGATATAGTCACGCAATTGTATGTGTGTGTGTGTGTGTTTGTTTGTGGGGGGTTAGTTTGTCCTGTGCGAAACGAAAGTGACGTAATTTGCACTTCACAAAAAACGAGAATAATACAAAAATTCTATATTATTTGCCTTGATACATGTATATTTTTAATTTATTCATCTATTGCCTGATTTTATATTCCAATCACATAAATAAAATTAAACGAAGGGATAATAAAATTTAACACAGTATTTTGCTTTTCCTAGCGTAAATTATAATTGAGTCGTGTGCAATCGGGTTTGAAAATTGTTGTTAACATCATATTTAGGTACGTAGCTTGAGTTACCGACGGACAGTAAAATCGTCAATTACAGGTTTACGTATCCAGGATTATTGTCCGTAATTTTTAAGCATGTAAACATTTACTTCTTAACAGCACTTGTCCAATCACTATATATTTAGTTACATATATGTAGAAGTCGCCAATTACGGGTCGTCTCAGTCCGATTCATCCGTACATGTATGTATTTTATGCCTTGTATTGTTTAAATTGAAGCACAGAAAAAATAATACACAGACTGTTCAAGAATTGATTTTTCTGTCGTAATAAGTAAAAGATTTTGGAAAATCGACATCAACGTTTTTGTTCACTGCAGCAAGGCAAAAGTTGTAGCTAAACAATAATAACTGCAAAGTATGGCACTTGCATTCAGTTATAACTCAGAAATCATTCATAATGATCACTGCTCAAATACATTTACACTGATTAATAAACCAAACTGTAGCAGCGTCCACATACCTTATGACATGGAACATATGAAAACTCAACACGCTCAATATTCAAAACCTACTGTCAACTTTTTATTTACCCAAAATTGTAAAAGTATTCTCCAAGGAAAATATAAAAAGTAAAATTGTGTTTCCCTTGCAAAATAAATAAATAAATAAATAAATAAATAAATAAATAAATAAATAAATAAAATAAAATAAAAATTACCCCTCGCAACGAAGTTTGATAAGATATAATAACGGGAGATGATGGGATGGGGGATGTGAGGGGATGCGTAACAAAAGTTAAGCAAGTAATAATTCATAACAGAATTGACATGCACTTTTGCGAGAGGATGCTCCGTTTTGTGGTGTCCTTCTTTATTCTATTGCATTTGTTTTAGTGTATTAGTGATCGTAGATAACAGATGCACATGCTGAATTAAATTTGCTTTTATTCATCCGATCATGACAAGGGACACATCGCGCGTGTTACCGATCGATAGCCGGGGATGCTCACTCCTCCATGGCACCTGATCCCACCTCTGTTTTCAGAGGTCCGTGTTGGCTCTACTCACATTTTGTATTGTTAAACTGGACTTTTGAGCATGATTACTGTTTATTTTCAGATTTTAACAAAAGTTCTGACCAAGGCATAAAAGAGTCATTAAAAAGACTTATTGTTCTTAATCAGCTTTCTTTGCATATGGCAAGGCAAGGGAAAATATTAATATCGATATAGGCAGGGATCCACTAAGTTTTCAAAGGCGAGTCTTTCGAATGGAGTCTTTTTTTTTTCTCTCCATTGTTGTGTTTGAGTGCTTGACTTGATATAGAACACTTGTATTTAAAAGACAAGTATGAAAATAGATTTTTAAAAATATGCTTATGTACACATTGCAAGACTAAACGCTTCAAGGGATTTGAAAAGAACAGAGAATGAATAGAAGTGACAGAAAAAATGTTTGCATGCCAAACTTTTTTTTTCTATTCATTGTAGCATTGCTATTGTAAATATTCTGTAATATTTAATGTTAATGTAGTCGATATTTACTACTGAATACAAAATACAACAAAATTAGTATGAAAAAAACAAAGAAATATATTTTTTACAAGAAACTCAATTTATACCTGATCAAATCTAACAAAGAGGGTAGGCCTTCGGCCGCTTTGGCGCTCCCACTTCTGTCAATGGTACTGTTTCTCTTGTACCCCGGCTCGATGGACACTACAAGAATGATTCCAAGGATCACTGCACAAAATGTGGTGACCAGGTAATAAATCACTGTCCGGAGTCCCATCTTTCCGGAAGCTTGGGCCTTTAGACCGGACATCGCGCTGATGAGACTGGACACGATCAGCGGCAGGATGAGCATTTTTAACATGTTCAGCAGCAAATCTCCGGGGAATTTCAGATAAAATATGGTCCTTTTGTCAGATGTAGGAACTTGCTCCCGAAGTCCAAGACCCATGGCTACTCCAATTATGACCGCTATGATCATAAAGATGACCAACAAATTGTCCTTGATTATTTCCTTGCATCTTTCACTGCCTTTGCGAGTCTTCATGTTAATATCGTCTACCGCCATGTTTAAAAAGCAGAGATCTGAGTCGTAGATGTGAAAATTTCTTTTTACCTTGTTTTGAATAGGTTTATTATGTGGCCTGTTCGAGCTTATCTGCATTTAAAATCCAAAGAACTGTCCCTCGTGTCTGTTTCATCTTACCTGTGAAAGAGGTTCATTACACATTAATCTGATTAATTTTAATATTATTAGGGATGACAACGAATATTCGAACATTCGAATATTCATTCGATGAGTTGATATTCGAATATGAATTTAAGATTCGAATATTCGGTATTTTTTTTCAGATTTCATAAAAAGAAGTACTGTGTTTAATAAATTTTGATTAGAACAGTGCTGGAATTATCCCGTTTTAATTTACTAGCGATCAATTTTGATCGCCTGATTTCTTTCACTACTTTCTTATCGTATATATATCTACTAAATTATTTTGTTTTGAGTAAGGTATTAAAGAATTATACAACAATGCGTTATGTATAATACAAAACGTATTTTCCTAGTTTTTATTAAATAAATACGATCGGATCTAGAATCGAGGACAACAAAATGAAAACCTTCTTAGAATGTCTAAAAGACCTGAAGAGTAAACTTATCAATTGTAGAGGGCTCAATTTCAGAATAAATGGGTAAATTACTTAATTATCTCGGGTTATACATAATCTTGAATTTTATATCCATTATCGGGAAATTAGTTAATTACCTAGGAAAATTGTCTATGGTAATATTTGTTTATATTTTAAAAACATTGTATCAAAGATTATAATCATATCTCTTATTAGGTTGATAATGTGTATTTGTCCTTGGTAAGGCGACTGGTTCCTCGGAGCTGCTATAAAATAAAATACACATGTATCATTTGTTAAATTATCCTTTTCTACATTTAAATCAATTATTTATTTCAAACATTGACAAATATCAAATGGAATTCCTTATTGTATATATATAAAAGTCTTCATACAATTTTACTTCAGTATAAGAATAACGCTAAACCTTTCATGAGAGTAGGATGATGCATACCAGTATTTAAAATAAACCAGACTTTATTTATTTTATCGAATATTCGAATATATTCGAATACTTTTATTGAATATTCGAATATTAATTATTGACAAAATTGACATCCCTAATTATTATTATTTTTTTTTTTTGGGGGGGGGGGGTCTCATTTATATTATTGGTTTGTTTACATTACGTTTGTCTTTTTGCCTTAATTAATGCTTCTCAAAATAAAAAATCCTCTTTAAATGCCTGATTGTAGCCACACAAAAAACTAGCTGCAGAACTGTAGAGTTATGGTTTTATATTCTAGACTTTGACCATAACGCTACAGATCCCGTTTGTTTGTTTGTTTATTGTTTAACGTCCCTGTCCCATCTAAACCCCCTGGACCTGATGAAATTTCTCCACATATACTAAAAAATATAATTCCTTCAATTACTGCACCCTTAGCAAAATTGTTTAATGCATCATTAACCAATAAACAGCTTCCTCATATATGGAAACTCTCAAATATTACACCAGTCTATAAAAATAAAGGGAGTCCTGAAGAGCCAGGAAACTACAGGCCAATTGCTTTAACAAGCATTCTTTGCAAGATTATGGAAAAAATTATATTTAAATATCTTTACAACTATATGCTAGAGCATAATCTTCTATCTAAAAATCAGTCTGGATTCCAACCTGGAGACTCCACTGTAAATCAACTTCTAGAGATATACAATACTATTATAAGCAGTTTAGACCAGGGTAAAGATGTAAGATTTGTATTCTGTGATATATCAAAGGCATTTGACAGGGTCTGGCATAAGGGATTATTATATAAGCTTAAGCAAAATGGTATTGCAGGAAATTTATTGGACTGGATTGAAAATTATCTTACTGATCGTGAACAAAAAGTTTTATTAGAAGGGTACTCCTCAGTTAGAGAAAGTATAAATGCAGGTGTTCCACAAGGCTCTGTATTAGGACCATTTCTCTTCTTAGTATATATCAATGACATAACTGTAAGTTTAGAAAATCAAATTAGGTTATTTGCAGATGATACTTCTTTGTTTGTTATTGTAGACTCTGATACACTAGCTCCTACCCTCTCTTTAATAGATGACTTGGAAAAAATTAAACAATGGTCCAGACAATGGATGGTGGATTTTAACCCTAATAAAACTGTAAATGTTAATTTTACACGGTCAAATAAATCACATCCACAAATTTCATTTGGTCATACACATAACTACATAGAACAGAAACAAAGTCATTGTCACCTTGGACTTATAATGCAATCCAATGGCGGTTGGTCCGAACATATCTCCAAAATATATGACAAAGCATGCCAACGTTTAAATGTTCTTCGCACACTCAAATATAAACTAAACAGGGATTCCCTTATTAAAATTTATATTGGATTCATTAGACCTATTTTAGAATATGGTAATGTAGTGTGGGATAATTGTACACAGGAGCAGAGTAATCTATTAGAAAGTGTACAAGTAGAGGCTGGGCGTATCATTACTGGACTAAGGCGCAATTCTTCGAAACAAAATTTATATAAAGAATTAGGATGGGAAACACTGAGTGAAAGAAGAACTAAACACAAGCTTACACTTATGTACAAAATACTTAATAAATATACACCTGAATATTTGCATGATATGGTTAAACAGTGTCTACCTGTTTCACACAATTATGCTTTACGCAATAGTAATTTGTATCACATACCAATCACTAGAACAGTTGCATATTATAATAGTTTTTTACCATCTACAATTAAGTTATGGAATGATTTGCCAGATAGCACGAAATCTGCAACAAGTGTAGCTAAATTCAAACAAAGTATTCAAAATAAAAATCTTGATGATAAAATAAAATCAAAATTATACAGTTATGGACAAAGGAAATTAAATATATTCCACTGTCAGTTGAGAAACTTGTCAAGTAATCTTAATGCAGATTTGTTTAATCATAACTTAGTTGGTTCAACTAAATGCTTAAAATGTGGTTATTCTTTTGAAGATTCTGTTCATTTTTTCTTTCAATGCCCATGTTATGATCTTGCCAGGAACTCTTTGATTACATATATGATTGATCATGACATACCAAGAGATATCAATATTGTATTGTCTGGTTATGATTGTCTATCTCTTAAAGAAAATTTGTTATTATTTGATCAAGTTCATAATTTTATAAAAAATACTAAAAGATTTTAGAATGTGAAAATGTAATAAGCATTAATGTGCAGCATGTACACTGAAAGTACATATGCATATATGGCTCTGAGCCTCTTCCCCTTTTCCGTTATCCCCACCCTCTCTCTCTCTCTCTCTCTCTCTCTCTCTCTCCTTTCATTATTCCACCTTATTGTTCAATTCCCCTCTTTTTTCAATTTTGTACATTGTATCCTCCTTAAAAATTAGTCTAAAATACATGTCTTAGTAAAAGTTATGATATATATTATTGTAACATTCCATGATTTGTACCTTGATCTTTAATGGAGAGAACTTATACAGGCCATTTTGCCTGCTGTTCAATCCATATTCATTGTATATACATTATGTATATCATGAATAAAATACTTCTTAAACTAACGTCCTTGTCGAGAGTTTTTCACACATATGGAGACTCCACTAGTTACCGGTGGAGAGCTACAAATTTTGACCTGTACTCGGCACTCAGGACCATTGAGCAGTGAGGGATCTTTAACGTGCCAACACCTACTGCGACACGGGACCTCGGTTTATACGGTGTCATCCGAAGGACCGGTCTCCAGGTCCCACAGTGAGATTCGAACCCGCGACGTAAGGATCAACTCCTTACTTCGCGACTTTAGAGCGAACGCTCTAACCACTGCGCCACGCGGGCGACCTACAGATCCTGTACGTGCAATTTACGGCGCACGATTTTCTGCGCACTTTGGTGATGTATTTCGCCACTTCCCAGCATTGGTCAATCAACGACCTTTCATCCCTTAATTCTAGACGTATTCAATAACCACCCTCGCTTGTTGTGAATTTGTTGTCGGGTGGCATAAAATTCACAACAAGCGAGTTTTTGGATCTTTAGAGACAACTATAAAGGGTGGGTTAGGAGGTGGATAAAATATACAGGTTGGTTAAGGAATATGTCTAGAATTAGGAAATGAAAGGTCGTTGAATTTCATCCATAAAAGTAAGTTGCATGTCAATATACTAGTATTTATCTCTCTTGTCAGCAGAGATACATGTGCATGTAAGTTGCATGTTAATATAAATAAATTGCATGATAACATAATTTAGTAGCAAGTTGACATAAATTAAATGCTCGTTAACTTGAGTAATTTGCATGTCAACATCAACGAGTTGCGTGCCTACGAGGGCTGTTCGGAAATTATTGAGACATTTACTTTTACTCCTTAAAGGCCAGAGATACATTCATGAAACTTCGTCAACATTTTATAAAAATAACTGAATAAATGAAATTTGCAAAATTTCTAATTTATCGGATAATTAGACAAGTTCCGGTGAAATTATAAACATGCATACGTCTATCGACCTGGAGCAGCATCGATACGTCATTTTAACGTCACATCAGCCACAGATGTTTTTGCAAGTGAAACGATCGGGAAGCGTTTACTGTTCTTTCTCTGTTATCACATATAACATTCCAAAAATCAAACTGTCTCTTTTCTTAAACAGTTCTTTAAAAAATAAAATTAAAAAAATGCGTGCTGTTGCTACCTCAGTGTAAAAATTACACGAAGTGTCATATACAGGTTGAATTAGCATCACGCAGTACCGATTTTTGCACAGCATTCAACGTTATTTACTCGGTAATAATTGATGGTCGTCTGGAGCTCTTGTTTGTTGAATATTTTGTAAGAATAAAATATAAAGCAATGAAAAAATAAAACCCTTAGGCACATTTTTGCATTGTTATTGTTTTAGCAGGTCGTTTAGTCTGGAAAAGAGTTCTCCATAGCACTACACAAAATTAAAGGTATGCTCGCTGCGCCGCCTTGACGTCAAATTCCATTTTGTCGTCGTTCTCAGATTTCGATGCCGCGCTTAAATTTATTTATGATCTCCGT